GTGCTAACTGTTCAGTGCGCTGCTCGTGCTGAGCCGTCCTCTGCTCTTGGTGCTTTTGTGCTTTAGGCGTCTTGAATGTGTAAAGAAGCTGCAGGCTGAAGTACTCGCCCTCTAACATGACGCTGTGCTTTCTGATTGGAGGTAGAGCGCCTTGTGGTCATAAACATTTCCAGAGATGTGTTCTGCAAAACTGTGGAGGTTTCTTTTTCAGATATGGTTTTGGTTTCCAGAGCTCTAATTCTGTTGTTCATTTTTCACAGCATCATTAAAGAAAAGCAATAAATCAGCAAATTCATAAAATCTGGATTTTTCTTTTTTGATTGTCCAGTTTATTGTTTTGGTTTTTAATGAACTGAAGGATTGATTGCTTCTTTCTCGTCTGTGTTTAGCCTTTTAGATTTTTGACTCACTCGAGCTAAATGTGAAGCTCTTTGTGTCTGTTTGTGTTTGGAGACAGTTTAAGCTCTCGGGGCTTACACCACCTCACTCTGACCTGTGAAAACATCACCCTAAATCCATTTTGTTCTAACTGAAATAGACAGACAGTGAGACGGAGGGAAGAAGTTACAGAATAGCAGAGCCTGAGTCATCCTTCCTTCCCCTGTGCCTATTTAAAGATCCTCATCCCTCCATCCTCATCATCTGCTTCTTTATTCCTCACCCCAGTCTGAGAAAGGAGGAGGACCTCTCATTCGCTTTTGATCTTGCTTTGGAAGTTTCTGTTTCAGTTTGCCATACGAGTATAATTCTCATCAAGTCAAACGCCTCAGATCGAGGGAGAGGCTAGAAATAATCCTCCAGCTTAGATGAACTTAATTGGAAGAGAAAAGATGGCAAACTATCAACTTATTAACCGAAACTGTTGTAAACACAGTTTGAGTGTGTGCCCTGACCTTTGACCTGCTCTGTATACTGTACTTGCATGCACAGGTTTCCTGCACGAGCACTAGCTTGCAGAAAAATAACTTTAATCCTCACAAAATCAGTAACATAGTTTCAGAGTAATATGATACTTGACTCTAAATTCAGTGTGTTTTGGTGCTGAACAGCACCAACTGCTGGTTGAGGATAAGCATAGTTTCTTGTGTTTTATAGACTTCGTGACAAAAACATATCTCATTATTACTACCTGTCCTTTTTAATCCTTGGTGTCTCATCTTTTTCATTTCTAACCTACTTTAAAAAAGCTCAGAGAGGTGAAAAACTTCTGTATTTCCCCGGAAAACTGAGTCACAGCAGCCATTATAACTCTGTGAAAACTTTTTATTTTATTGTTGTAATCAAAAGAATCACATTCAGCTTCTTTCACAGGCACATTTTAGTGTCTCAGCTGTGTTCATAAGCAAAAGTACATGTTTTATTATGAGGCTTATAACTGTTTTTTATGTGTGTATGGTTTGTATCTATTTTATTTAATATGTTCCTGCTTGTTATTCATCTTCATCACTGGGCTTGGTTTCAAATCCAACGTTGTCTTCACAGATTTTTTTGATGTGGTTTGTTATACGTTTAGGAAAAAGCGTGAGTATTCCAACCCGTCACTTCCTTCTTGACTAAAACGGCGCTGGCAGCAATGGCGGCCCCTTCCTGGGCATGATCCTAAAAGCCTGGCACGTCTTTCTTATTTTCCGCGTGTAAACCTGCAGTAACGTGGAAAGTTGCATGAATGCACTGTTTATACAAAACCTGATTGCATTAGACAGCATTTATCTTGCGGTAGTTTAATATACAGCCACAGTGTGTTTGACTCTGTGCCTGACAGAGTGACTGACAGGCTGATGGACCGCCTGTCCGACTGGGTGGATGATTTTTAACACAGAGCTGACTGACATGTTCATTTCACTCGGTCTCCGCTTTGCTGATAAAACTCCAATTAAATCAAGAACATGCTAACTGAGTGTTTGTGTGTCACCTCCTCAACAAGTCAATATCTAAAAGACAAGGTCAGACCTCCTCTGTTTACCCACACGTCTTCACCTCCCTCAGTGTATTTTCCAGTTCCTCTCTCTCAGCAGGGTAGTTGGATCCCCTGCCAGAGATGATAATTATTGCCATGTGCCTTCATGCTACTGAAATCTCTCTCACACACACATACATTGTGCTGACATCATCGCAGATGACGTCTGTGCCCACAGCCGGTTTCTTGATCCCAGCCAGTTACTCACCTGTTTGTGCGTTTAAGAAGGATTTGTCAAGTCAGCCACGCAAACCGCTTTTTCTGTGTTCGACAAATCCTCTGCAGGTTTAGCGTCACTCAGGTCTGCTTCGTGCGTCGCTCGCTGCTTGGGAAGCACACTCACCCGATTTTATTTATTTTTAATTATTTATTTTTACTCAGACATCCTCCAGGCAGAGAAATCCTGAAATTGCTCCGCAGCTCATCAGTCGGCAGCTACAGTCGTCACAGAAATTCAGAATATGTAAATAGCAGAGCATTTAGTCTGCACGAAGAATGTTTGGTATTTTTAGAGTCCTGCATTTAAAGCAGGGACTGTCACTTTTCTACCCTGATTGGTTTAAGAGTGGATGTTCATACTAAACACAGTCAAAAAGAGTGAGAATCTCAGCTTCACACTGCTTTAAACAGCCAGTTTCAGTTTTTTCTCCTCGGCGCACCCGTGGCTCAGAAAGTATGGGGGGGTCATCCAGTCCCACCGTGACATCCACTCACTGATGTGAGAACCACATCAGCTCGCATCATATCACTGCAAGCAGATGTGTTCATTTGATGTGAGCACAGAAGCCCCACCCACCCGCTGTTCAAACCTTCTGCTTGTGAGTGTTAGCCAATCAGGGGTTCACCAGGGCCCAGTATCGGACAAATGCGGATTATTTTGGACTGTGATTCTCATACAGCTGCTGTAGTGGAGCCCAAATGTAGCAAAATATGGAGATGGGTGTAATTATTTTTGTTATCGTGCCTTAGAAAACATGTGTTCTGTGACCTGCTTTCTAAAACCACGAAGCACATTGAACATGAGCATTTAATTAACAAAAAGCCACACACTGTAAGAAGTGTGTAACATCACCGAGACAAACTTGCTTGTCAAACACTGCTGCGATGCTCCTTTTTTATATCCCACAGAATGTACAAACGGTACGCGCACAAGTTTGTTGTGGAAGTTCATCCTGAATCTATTCTCCAGCCCTTCCGGTCCTCTCCGTCCTCTTTGCTCCGAACATGTTGAATCCAAATGTCCCTGCAACTGCACACACAGACCTAACTGGAAAATTCCTCTGAAGTCTGCAAGCACCAAAAACTGTCTGGACCTACAATTCATCAAGTCACGTGGACTCTGCAGACTCGCAGAGAGCCTGCTTGTCATGCATAAAGCAAATATTTTAATTAGACGTTTGCATCCCGTAAAAACATTTTATCATATTTTAAGTTGATTCACCTCAGGCAAACACATGCATTTTTCATCCACTTGCTATTTTGCTTGTATAACATGGCTTCTTGCAGACTAGTGGAAAGAAAATCTCCAAAATACACATTTAGGTTTTATTTCACTGAATTTTGTTGCTTGTTTCTGCACGTTTGGTAGATACTGCTTCATTTTCAATATTGAACATAATATTTCAGAAAACTAACAAGACAACAAAATCGTTTTTCTTGTAAAAGTTATCAACTAGTAAGCTTGATTCAGAACCGGATTTACAAAGTCTTTTATCCCAAACAGCGCGATGGAAACTGACTCTTTCTGGCTGTTGACATAGTTTCTTGTTTATAGGGTAAAACCGTTTGATTCTAATATGTCAGCTAAATGAAATCTTCAGGTTTTTGTAAATTAGCACATATTCAGTGCATATTTAAAACTGATGCTTAAGAAAATGGAAACAAATATCAAAAACAATCTAAAGAACATCAGCTGGCCTCAGCTCCCATAGACGCACATCCAAGTGTCTCCACCAAATACATTTATACAATAATGACTTGTTGGCTCATTGACTCTCCCTCAGTCACTACCATTCAGCATTTCACAAACTACAAAGCCTCCTCAGGCTCTCCAGCTTTCATACTGTAACTCTATTTGAAATAGAGTAGAATTAGAAATAGAATAAAGACGATATTGTATTTACTGTTCATCAGTGTATATATAATATATTTATCTCTATATAAATATTAATATAAATGCATATTGTAATCTGGGGCCCATGTTGGTTCTTAAAACTCTAATTCCCATAATCCTTCACTCTGTGGCTTTCTGCCTTTCTCTGAAATTGTTACTTTGTTTTTTCCAGCTACATTTACTTGGAGTATAATTAGGGGTGGGGTCACACTCATTTGGTCTGTTGTGTGTTTATACTCAGCAGTCACATATTTACTTTGCAGTGATTCACCCCCAAATTTTCTGGCTCTCTCTTCTTAACTTTCTTTTGAAATGCAGCAGCCCCTCCTGGTGATCTGACAGTCCCCGGAGGTTAAAACCCAATGCCGGGAATCGTTTATAAAAGCGCTATTGGATTCAGATGTGCTTTGTGCTGCGTGGAAATCTGCTGATGGTACCGTAGCGAGGTTTGATTTATCGCTCGGGGAGATCGGTCAGCAAGCTTTGAGGTGGTTTGTCGCACTGTGAAAGGTGAATCAGCTGCACCTGCAGTGCTTTGAGTTCCTCATTTATGCACATTCACATTCATTCAAACAGAATCATCTGGTCGTAAGCAAGCGATAAGCATACCGTGATCTCTCTAAATGCTGTAGTACCTTAAATTGTTTTGCTTTTTCAGGGGAAATGTATTCAGTTCATTGCAGTCTTATTGTTAATTTGTCATTGTTTTTTTAAATTACGCTTGTAGGAGCTGGAACAGTGAACATTTATCTAAAAAACATAAAAACCTGCATGCCCAGTGCAGCTTTAATGATCTCTGAATCTTGAAGTAAAGTTTAGAAAACATCGATCATCCATGTTTTACTTAACACTGACTCTGGCTCTCTCACTGGGTATTGCTGTATGAGAATAAGGAAAGTAAAATTTGCTCTGTCTTTCTCTCTATGGCAGGTGACATCACACAGAAGGGCTATGAGAAGAAGCGATCCAAGCTGATTGGAGCCTACTTACCTCAAGCACCAGGTAAAGCAGGCTGCTCTTTAAAGCTTCATCCTGCCCTTTTAACTGAACTGCTCACTCACACACACTGTGCTGTTCTAAACTATAGTAGCTTTGCATGATTCACAGTTCAAAATAATCCTTATTTATTAGTCCAGCTGTTCTGATTGGCTGCTCCTCATAAACAGAATATTTGAATAGCTAGTGGGCGGGGCTTCTGTGCTCACAGCCAGAGCTTTGTCTGAGATGATGATAGCTGGTATCGTTCAGAGGCAAGGCGAGAAAAACTTGTCTGAAACTGAGTGTTTAGATTAATCTTGAGCCTAATCTTCAAGGATTACTTGTACGTACACTGACCTCATTATTTGATACCCCGACCATGTTGTTCTCTCTCCCAGTCTCACACAAACACAGCAGCGTAAAAGAGAGGGCGATAACAGACACAATTTAATGATGTATAAACATTTGGGGAGTGAAAAGAGACGAGTGGAGAAGAAATACAAGCAACAGCAGCATAACTCAAGGATGGTCCAAGGTCAGCAGCCCTCACTGTAAGCTTTATTAAAAAGGAAAGTTTGGAGTGTAATCCTAAAACTAGAGAGCGTGTCTGACTCCCGAATCCAAACTAGGAGCTGGTTTTGCAGGAGGGGGGAGCCCGATAGCTGAAGGCTCAGCCTCTCATTAATAACAGCTCCCAGTAATAGCTTTTGTAGAGCCAGTGTGTCTGCTGGTCTCCAGTGACACTTCAGTCTCTTAAAATGTTGTGCATGTCTGAGAGTGTCCGGGTCTTCCCATTTGATCAGCGTGGATGAGGGCCGACCTTCCAATAAAGCAGTGACAGCTTTTCCACGATGGATCCATCGTTGTGGGTTCTTTTGATTCTGTCCTTTCAGACTGCACTCAGGGGAGTGAAGCGCACACATGTACATGTTTAGACATCTTTGTGAGGACACAAAATTGTCATGCTACTATACTTGTGGGGACCAACAGTCACTGATGGGGACAAAACGCCCGTTCCCACGAGTTTGAGGCTCAGAATGTGGTTTTGGTGTCAGGGTTACAGTTAGGCTATGGTTTAGGTTGAGGGTTCGGATTATTGATGGTTAGGGTAACATGTCCTCACTAAGATATGAAAACGAGTGTGTGTGTGTGTGCATCATGAAACCTCCTTTTGTCTTTGGCTGAATACGGCACTTTTTTCTCTCCTTGTCGATGTTTAACAGGACACACAGTAAATCCCATTTTGGGCAGCTTTGTCATCACAGAGATTTTCACAAGTAAGGCAGAGCTGATCGTGCCTTTGTTTTGTTGAAGGTCCTCGTAAGAAGTTACACATTTAACTTTATTTCAGTGTTTCGTCTAACAGACTGATAGTAGGGGTTTGTTTTCTTTTGAAAGAAGTCAGAATGACTGTGAAGGATGGGACTGAAGTGAAAACCAGCAGACACACTGGCTCTGCCAAAGCTATAACTAGTAGATACT